AGAGTGATCCGTCTTTTGAGAAATAAGAGGAGGAAGTGTGGAATGAAGGAGTCAAGTCCAGAAGACAGAGGAGGGGTTTATATACCCGTAAAGCGAGTATGCACACGTGATGCAACTCCGCAGCTCCGCAGTCTCGACCGGCGATAGTTGCTCACATAACAAATACACCAATACAAGACGCAGGATAAGATGAAGTAGTAAAATGTAGTAATTGATATACAGCCCATCTCATGAGCCTACACACTACCAAGCAATATAAAACGCCACAGTGAGGTTCGCGTCTTCAAGACACCACCGCCACCACCACCAATGCCATGCTAAGATTTCCATCTAAAATAGATATAAAGAAAAAGACATTACAGGAATGTTAAAGCCCTCGCCCGACCAATTTTCATGATTGTGATACATCATGCTCGCCACCCTAGCTTATACGGGAGTTCTACTCCCTCTTAAACTGCTGCTGAAACCCGCCCTGCTGCGGCGACCCAGGACTCCTATACGGGTTATTATTCGACGGGGCGCGTTGTGGCGCATTGGCGTTGATATCCCATCGCCTCTCGCCCTCCTCCTCTTCTACTTGTGGTGCGCGGGGTCGGCTGCGTGAGCGGGGTGGTGGAACCATAGTCTGGTATGAGTACTCCTCTACCTGTCCTGTCGAGATAGAACTAGGCGATCCGGGTGCGGTGCTGCGAGGCATTGATGGCGGAGGTAGGGGACCGCCTGGCGGAGGCGCATATGTGCTTTGCCCGCCGGAGGGCACTACGTGGAGGGGTAGAGGTGGAGGTGGGTTCTGGCGTGGTGTATCGACGGAGACGCGCGAGCCGAATGGCGAGAGTGTTGTGCCGCCCTTTCGCTTTCCGGCGGAACTGGCCTTGCGGAGTAGACCACGGACTTCGTCGAGGTCGGGTCGCTGGTCTGTGCTGGGACGGCCAATAGTGCTGGAGTCATCACCGCGAGCTTCCCAGGTGTCGTCACGGATGGTGTCTAGACCCGGCTTCCTGTTGTTGAGGGCGGTGATTGCGTTGCCTTCTGTGCCAACGCCCAAGTAGTCAGTACCAGAAGTCCTGCCGGTGTCCTCTTCCTTGGGGTTGAGTGGGCGGAGACGGCCGGCATCGGCGCTGGCCTTGTATTTCTCGTATGCTGCGACAGCTTCGGCGGGCGGGACTGCGACGGACCATGTGGGCTTGTCTTGCGAACCCAGAGCAGCGTCGCCTCCAGCCGGACCGTTGATCGGAACCTTGCGCAAAGCAACGACGAGCGCGCACATGAACTTGGATCGTCGGGACGCGCGGAGGGACTCGTTGGACCAGTTGCTCTTGTGGCGGATCTCGACACGGAGCTCCAGCTTGTTCATTTCAGCAATGCTGACAACCTCGATGTCGATATCAGAGTGGAACTCGCGGGCGTTAGCCGGATCGCGAACGAAGCTCATCATCTCCATCTTGAGCAGATTGATGTCCTCGAATGAGGTGCCGAAGTCGCAGAATACCGAAACTTGTTCTCGCATGGCCTTGCTTCGTGTGATGTTCTCCACCCACAGCGAGTTCAGGACAATGTTGGGTATCTGGACAGTTTTTCCGTTGGTGACGCGCTTGAACACGGTGTAGAGCAGTGCGATGTGCTCTACAGTGAGCTGCTCAGTGGTAATGTCGACGCGATCGCCGATATCGTACGGGTGCTTGACGAAGAGGAAGATGCAGGAACCGAGAACTTCTTGAGCCGTTGTCGCGAATACGAAGGACAGCGAAAGTAAGGCGGTTGCGGATGTAGCGAGAGTGGTACGGAAAGCCGGAGCGAGGAAGGCGACGAAGACGAAGATGCAGACAATGACCGCGATAGTCATGATAAGACCGTCAAGAGCGTTGATAGCTTGGTCGACATCGTGCATACTGGAGTTGATGGACTTGCGCTGTCTGGCGTAGTCAGTCACAGTCAAGATCATCTCTTCCAGACTGATGTCGCCGTTTCCGTCGCGGTCGATTGCAGCGAAGCACTCTTCAGCTTCTTCCTGGCGACCAGGGCCCATGACCTCGACAAGATCCTCCAGGTACAGCTCGTTCTTGCCTTCGACGACCATAGACATCCAGATACGCCTAGCCAGAGCTTCAGCACTCTTGTTCCTCTCCAAAGCAGTCAAGACAACGGAGTGAGCAGAGTTGGGGTCGAAGACCTTCTTGCCGGTGATTTCGGAAGCGATTGTACCAAAGACGGATGTGATCTTATCACCAATGCGACCAGCGTCTCGGCCAACTTCTTGGATGAGACGCATGGGAGTGCGACTGCCTGAGCGACCATGCTTAGCAGTACCCTTGCCCTTGCTGCCAAAACCGAGATCCAGAATTGTGTCCTGGATGATGTAATCCTCCTCTGCGAACTCGTTGCAGTAGGCGGGGAAAAGCGCTCGCGAAGTGTCGTAGAGGATACCGAGGAGGTAGATGTTGCGCTTCGACTCTTTGATCTTGTCGTCAAACTGCTTGCGGTGGTAGCTGATACTGATGAGCTGGATCAAGACGCGTTCGGCGAGGATGATGATGGTGCAGACAAGGAGGGCAAGCAAAACCGACTGCATCGTGCCAATCCATCCTGGATAGTTCTCGCCAGTTCTGCCAGCAACAGGTCGAATAAGCTACACGGAATTAGTGGCTGATAGTTCAAGTAATTTGACTGAACTTACTGCAGGGAAAGTAGCCTGATTGACAATCATCCAGAAAACGAAGGACAGAGGCTTCTCGAGAGCCCTCAAGAGCAGCGCATATTTCTTGACACCAGGGCTGACCACACCGATGAGGAATTCGAAGATGTTGGGGAGGAAGTGTGCCACAATCTTCATGACCCAGAAACTCAGCCAGATGATCTCGATCCAGATCCAGAACTTCTTCTGGCCTGTGCCGCCGATTGAACCTGTGATTGTGCCGGTTTGCGAGAGAATGATGGGAATGGCGAGTAGCAGCGCAACAGGAGCGACATAGATCATGTAGCGCGTGACAATGCTCCAGTTCAGGATCTTGGTGTAGATCCTGCCCATGCGGTTGAGGGCCGTCTTCTCTTCATGGGGGCGGGGAGGCAATGGCGCTCCTGTCCTGGAGTCGACTGGCGCCAGAGCCACCTTCCTGCGTCCCCGCGAGAACATGTGTGACTTCTCCGACTTCTCATTGCCGGACGTAGGCGAGGACTGCGTAGGGGTGTGACTGACGACAGTCTGGAGTGGGATATCGCCGCGGTTCTCCATGTTTCCGTTGTCGAGAGGCTGGAAGCCGTGGTTGGAGAGTCGAAAGGACCTCTGAGAGGAGGCTCGTTTGCTTGTCATGTAAAGGAAATCTAGTAGTTGTTCGTGGGTGCCGATTCGTCACTGCGAACGCGCAGGCGGGGTATTGTGGGTATTGTGAAAGGGAATGCAGATCCCGGAGTGTTTTGCCAAAACGAAGCTGGCGGAAGAGTGTGCGTCGAGCACTTCCTTTTTGAGAGCCGTTTGAACGAGTAGTACAATAGAGACGTGTAACGACAGCGATTGAACGAAGGCCTGCCGTCGGTTCTCTGTGCAAGGTAAGGAAACAAAGAGATAGAGGAACGAGCGAAGAGGCTCTCGGGACACAATAGCAGAAAAGGCAGGGTGGGAGAGCGAGTGAAGAAAAGTAGCAGTGCAAGGAGTTACTTTGACGAACAACGCCGCGCGCCGGTCCCCAGACCATGCTAGCTGTATGCAGGGAGGGGGTAGCGGGAAAAGCCACATGCCACTGAAACCGCTAGCTACTCGCCACAGCGAATCACCGAGGGGGAATATCGTCACCGCTGGCTGCACATAAAACTGCCAGGCCATGCTCTAATTACCGTTGTTCTGCACACATCGGACAGGCCGTTGAGCAGCGACTTGTATATCGTCGTTGGTGAGGATGGGGTTTTGGTTGAGCCTCATGCAGCGATGAGCATGATTCACCCGATCGGCCATCCCTGACGTTGATCGGTTCTGGCCAAAATACCCGGTGCAGATGCAGGTACACGCGTATCGATACGCCCAACAGAGAGGAAAATTGTGTCCAGCTCGTACAATCGCGATCGAGTTCACCATCGCCGGCCGAACATTCGGATTACACCGTCCAGAGTTCAGCCGACGAAAAAGCAACTAATCCCTTTGTTGCAGGGCGGCCAGGCCGCGGAAACCCCAAAGACGATGTCGCATGTCTACCATAGGTCCACAGCTCGCCTATTTCCGAGCATCCTGGTGGAGATACCCCGAATCGAGAAACTGTCCACGTAATCCATTCCCCCCTGTTGAGGCTTGCATCGTGCCTGCCCAGCAATGTTTCAGCCACACGCATCACACATGTCAGGTACATTTGGCCGTTGAATGGCTGCGAACCCTGTGGCGGTGAAATGAGCCTTTCTTTTCAGGAGTCGACGATGATGATGGCATTTGTACCAGCGTCTTTGCGGCGATACTGACAGCTGTCCGGCAAACGCGAGACGGAATGGGGCTATTCTTAGCTGTTGCGGATCCGCGGCGAAGCTTCTTATGATCAACCACTAGATGTCCCCACAGCCAGGGTCCAAACAGAACCGTCGTCGATGCTAAGATGTTAGGGCTCCAGAGTTTGTGTTTACACTCACGATCGATACGACGAAGGGCACCTTCACTATGACGTCGGTTATACGGGTGCGACATCCACGAGTTTCAGCCATTGATCAACACGGCCATGACGTTGTGCTGATCACCATGACAGCACTGAACACAACATTGCACAAACATCCCGGGTGCTCTTCAAAAATCTCCAAACTATACACGGACCCATTTATGAGTCGCATCAATGATTCAAGTAGTCCCACAACGAGAGTCTATCTAGCTGTTCCCACAAAGCGCAATACCAGCCACAACACAAAACCCCCAATTCCACATCGTCGCACTGACCAAATCATCTACATTCAGCACCCCAACACCTAGCCCCAACAACGTCTCCCAAATCTCATCTCTTTTCCCAATCGGCCAGTTCGGAGTACCCCAGTACCTACTCTTTAACCCTTTCGCCTCCGCTGCCTCGACCTGTTGCTTGACTGTTCCAACCTGTTTTGACGACATACTTGCGAACCACAGCTTGCCTACTGCGTCGCTGAGGGCGGCGGATGCATAGTAAGAGTTTGTGGTATTGTATTGGTTGTCCGAGACAGAGAGCAGCGGTGCGTCGAAGAAGATGTACCGATTTGCCATGGACTGAATGAGGTCGAAGGGGGCGTTTCCAGTGCCCACAATGGTGAGGGGGCCTGTGTGGAGCACCGAGCCGTCGTAGTATGTTAACCAGTCTTTGGAGCGAAGGGCAGCGAGTTGCGAGAGAAGGACTGGCCATGTTGCTGCCGGGTCGGATTTGAAGTCAACGAGTAGCACGGTGGTTGCGCTTGGCTTCATGTCGAAGACGCCGGTCTTTTTGTCTGGCTCTGAGGCTGTTGTTGCGTTTCGCTGTTCGAGGATGTTCACAAGTGGGTCGATGTATAAGCTCTTCAGAGTTCGATCGCTGGTTGTGGACTCCCAAGAATGACTGACCCGCAGTTCGCCATCTTCTGTCAACCAGATGTCTGCTTCAATACTAGTACATCCCGCCGCGAGGGCAGCATAGAGGGGAACAGAGCGCCAGTAATCATTGTGGGAGTGGCAGCTCTTGGGTACGATGTCACGGCTGAAGTCATCTCTCCAGTCGAATTGGAATGCCTTGGCTGCTTGCGGCTCTTGCCAGGTATCGACGATGTGGTGGAGGCCACTGTTCTTGGGGGAAGGAGCGAGCCGCTTTAGCAGTATAGACACGAATGTGATGTAAACACTAATGTATGTTAGTCTCACTTCGCACCTTGATCGGATCTCCTTACCCTCCAGCAATAGCACCGAAGATGGCCAAGATGACAGCAATGATTCCGAACCAAAGAACACAACGTCTTCTCCGTTGCTTTCGGTGGGCTTCGGTTTCACCAGGTCGACGCGATAATAACCCGCACCAGTTCAATCTCTTCCACCAGTGCTGCGATGCAGTACGTCGATGTACTTGCCGCTGAAGATCTAGCTCCTCCAGACTCATTGGACTAGAGATTCGACTGACAGCGTCATTCTCATCATCGCGATACGTTCGTGTAGTAGTGTCTCCGCGAGCCATGTCTGTACGGAAAGGCTGTAGTTCTATTGCAATGTCTGCTGTCGACATAAGATGACTGCGCAATGGTCAGACACAACACGGAAGAAGGAGATACTTGTGAGACCGTATAACCAAGTTGATGTATAGGCTTGGCTTGGGGGTAGCACCCGTGCGATGCGCAAACAAGTACAGTGTAGAGTTGCACCAGCCAAACCAGCGCTAATCAAACAAGGTAAACCACGATAGGGTCTCACCTCATCTGGAAGTCACTAATTTGGTGATGAGAAGAATGGAGAACCCCGTTTTTCACTCACCTTTACTGTCAGTCACTCCTTCACTTCAAACTCGTTGTCTTACGCTCTGGCATTGCATCTTCACCCCGAACACGCACTCTTTCATATACACCTCGCCCTTCACTCCGCCCCGACTCAACACCATCCAAATACATCTGCCTGATCGTGCGTAGACAATCAACCCTCACACAGCATGACACTTACGTCTCAGGCTTTCCGCAAGGCACCTACTTTCGCATCCATCTCCTCCACCAAACCACATCATCGCGACCTAGATTAGCACTTCCATATTGCCGCTTTGGGACAATGAACCGTCAATTTGGGACCAAGCGCCATCACTTTCACTTACGCCCCGTGAGATCATTCGTAAGCCTTCACATCTACACATCTACTCATACGATGAGATACCGCCTTGACGAAGGGCAGGAGGGCTCACGACGCGCGGCACTCTCTACTGCAGACGCATCGGGCTCTCTATTGCAGGTGCCTCGAACTGAGGTCCCGTTCGGTTACACGACCGCGGATATGCTTCGTCCGAAAGCAGATGCCAGGACTACAATGGATGAAGAAAGGAATATAGACTGTGTCGTCGTCGTCGTCATTGCATGAACTCAGGTTCACTCTGCTAGGTACCCTCGGCGACCAAGCGCGCGGATAGGACTAAACGCGGATAGTGGAGACATGCGCAGGTGGTGAAGTTTGTGTCATCCATCTAAGCCTCCAGCACGGTTCCTTGCAGAAAGCTTCGCATGTAAGATCCGTATCGTTTGCTTGTACTGTAAATAGCTGCCGCGGGGCATGTGTGATGTGATGGGTTGTTTCCCGAACTCGGTGCTGGTATGGGATTCGCTCTAGTGGTTAAATGCTGTTGTTCCTTCAGTGTGCCTTGTTAAGGCTTGACCTCTTCATCGTCCCTAGATTGTATGTTACGACGGCGACGGTTCGGTTGAATGTTACCTGGCTACATCACCTCGCATGCCGATGTTGATGGCACGATGGTGCAGGTAGGACCGCACTACTTACGCGGCCGGACAACCACGCCGCCAAGGCAACAACGAAGGTGTTCCAACAGCAAAGATGACGTCCAGAAAAAGAATCGAAAGGCGGGAGAGGCGCATTTCTCCAAGTGCGATGCACGACTACCTAACGCCCTGCACGATCTTCGCATGTGAAAGTCCGCAAGTTCCGCAAATCAATCCGAGGACCCCAGCAAAGAAAAAAGATACTGCACACACGCGCGCCTACAAACGCCCGCTCCGCCCACAAACCCTCAACACCTACCACCTACCCACCGACCACCAACCCACACCCAACCATCCCTCGCAACCCGGATAAACACCCGCAGCCCGCGCACAACCTTGCGCAAAGGGTCTTAGAGCCCCACGCGTATTGTTGCCAGCGAGGCTGCAGACGGCTCACATGCACCTGTCTGCTCTCAGTCTTAACCCCTTGCAGGCTAGTTTCTGTGGGGTTCTTGCATGTTGACAGGAGGCCCGATGGGAAGGAAGTGAGCTATCTTCAACCGAGCAGATCACGCACGGCAACACACCGACATTCACGGACGATATTTGCGAGACCGTGTCCTGCTGTTGTTGCCATTAACTTGGGGTTTTGGACAGGGAGAGTGATGGCGTGAACGCGCAACGCGTGACGATGCGGGAAAACGTGATGGACAGACCACTTTTGTCGCTTCTTCTTCCTCTTTGTTGACATTATCGTCGAGGTCTTTCCACAATTTCATTTGGTCCTAGACTAAGATTGGGGTATCTTAACCTGCATGCACGCGGTATGCCAACTCACCACACCGACTCTTTTTCACCCGCCGTCAACAGATCAACAATAAACAGCAGCAGGGACCCAGCCTCGTTTATTTTTTTCCCATCGTTCGCTACACTTAAAGCAAGCTTCAATATCGCATTTTCACGGAGCGCATACTTGACGTTTATTTCGCGTTTGATTACCCTTCTTTTCTTCGCTTTATTACTTTGGCGGGAAGATTGAGCATCCGAGCTTCAACGATAATAAACGATCACGAAACGAACGGCCGTCACGGATATACACAACAAAGAAATTGGGAACCCCGCATTCCACTATCTACTCAGCTCCCGCCACTACGGAAATCACCAACACTCCACTCCGACACCTCACAAAACTACGAAACGACCCACGCACACAATGGGCAAGGACTCCTCCTTCCGCCTCTGCATAGCGTCCCTGCTCATCATCCAAATCGCCTGCTGGGCCCTCACCCTGCTCGATCTCTACCACCCCGGCAAGCCCATAGCTATGCTACGCACTACGATGGACCTGGCCTCGCTCTATTTCACAAGGTTGGGAGGCCAGAGCAGCGCTGCGTTGCAGCACTTGAGTGTGAGGGACATCACAGCGTTGGTCTACTGAGATGACGAGCTTGGAGGGCACCTCTCTGCCCATCGCAATCTCAACGATGCGAACGATGCCACCTAGGCAGAGTTTCTTTCACAAATGATTCGAGAGAGACCAGGGATGCAAGAGGGCGTTCACGACATAACGACTTTCACGACACGATACGGATGATACTATGGCATGGCATGATACCAACGGCGTTCATTGGATTTGGGAGTACGGCGTATACATCCTTCTTCTCTCGGCCAGCCCGGTTATCGCGCCGTCGAAACACCAACACAACAACACCACACCACCACAACCACACAACTAAACACAGCTCTCCCGTCCACAGCTGGCCACCCATCGCTACCCCATTCCAGACTCAGCCTCACAACCACATATCGTAACGGCACACACAACTGTTCCACGGACCACAACCACATATCGCAACGACACACACAACTGCCCCAAGGACCCAGCCATTGAAGTGTTGTTACCCTAGTATGTACGAACCGTCACAGCGAAAACGACACGATGTCTGAATTTAACAAATCCACAATTCTTAGGAGCCTTCCAAAAGCCCTAGAAATTGTGGATTTGTTAAGCTCAGACAACGTTTCGTCCGTGACGGCTTGCATACTAGGGTAATAACTACTTTAAAGGTCTGGGTTCTCACAGGCCGTTAGTTAGTCAAGGTGGTGAAGGAAGCATGACGATGGACAGCAGGGAAGATGTTGTGGGCTGGTAGGGAACAAAGGGGAAACCGCACGCGCAGGTCGTGGTGCAAGGAGCTAGTTTGAGCTTTGCTTTGTTCTTTATATTTGATATGAATACCCCATTTCCATCAAACTGCATGTTTTCACTCCACACAGTACATGCTCAACATACTCGACTCAAGATGATCTTGTGATAAAATGCATTCTCTTTCCATGACATCTAGCTCAACAGACAGGCTTTCACTTGCCCATCCGCATAATCCCCAGCAATTTCATACCAGAAAAGTAACAGACCTTCCCACGCGCCCGATGAACCCACGGAACCCGAGATAACCGAAACACAGAATAGACACTAAGATCCTGTAGCGATTGTTTAACTCCCTTGTCCCCCGTTTGCGCCGTTTGTTTGAGTTGATTTGAAAAACACCGATTTGAATGCATGTTGATGTGAAGATCGAGACAAAGGAAAACTGGTCATGTTGTGATGGAAGGGATTCACTGCGTGGCTTGGTGGTTCAACTCGTGCATCATGCTTACTTCGCCGAGGTGCTTCTGGTCGAAGTGTGAGGGGGAGTGGTCGTCTGAGACGAGTTGAATGGGCGGCGCGGGGCTAATTTCGTCGTCGTCGTTTGAGTGAGTGTCCTGCGTCTTTGGTGTCTCTTCACTCGGCCTGAGCGTCGTTGTGCTCTCAGCTAGCGGGTCTGAGGTCTGGCTCTCTGCGGCTGTTGGAGCTTCAGGCGCTTTGCCGTTCGCAGTCGTAGCTTTTTCTTCGGTATGCGTCTCGCCCACGTCCTCGATATATTGAGGCTTGTTCTCATTCTTGTTGTCGTCTTCGGGGGTGATCGCCTTTGTAAGACTTTGGAAGTTGAACATTGGCTCCGTGCTATTCGAATCCTGTGGAGGAGTATCGGTGTCGCCCTGGGCTAAGCTGATGCCTGATGCGTTTGAACTAGGCACGTAAGAAGAGCCAGGTGCGAGGTTTTGGTTCTCTTGCTGTTGTAGTGAGTTTTGGAATGAGTCGGCGAACGAAGACGAGGACGAGGAGGCGTTGGATTTATTGCGCTCGAGATGAGAAGGAGCCGGATTGCTGGTGTCAGATTTCTCCCGCTGAATCTGTGCGCGACTAGCTTCAAGATGCTTCTGCGGGTCGTCCTTGGTAGCCGGCGTGTTCAAAGTCGACGTCGGTTCTGACATGGGATTGAAGCCACCGGCGCCACCAGACCGATCAACTCCCTTTCCTTTCCCAGCCGCCGAAGAGCTGCCCGCCTCCGTTTCGTCGATGCCATCAATCTCGATGGGGTGGAAGCCACTGCCGATATTCCGTTGGGCTTTGGCAACTTTCTTGATTTCCTTGGCCTTCTTCTTACCCTCCTTCTTGGCTTCTTTGGCGGCGTCCTTCTCTTCCCTCTTCTTGCGATCTTCCTCGGCTGCCAGACTCAGGCGTATTGCTTCCATCATCATAAGCTCCTCGAGGTCGTCAATCCTGTTTCCTCTCCTAGAGCTTATTCGGCTGGGGTATAGGTCGCCCGAGTTTCCTGGCTGACCGGATGAGCTTTCACCTTCACGCCTG